TCATAAAAGGGAACGATCATTTTCAATATTGTGTCCTGCCCTTCGGTCTGGCGGTCTCTCCAAGGGTTTTTTCGAAAACGCTTGTAGTTGTGGCGACACATCTCCGTAGGATGAACGTGGTGGTATTTCCTTACCTGGACGATTGCCTCGTGAAGGGCAGGACACGACAGGAGGCGGCACACGCATGATTATGTTGACCGTTCAGACTTTCAACTCTCTGGGCCTTATAATCAATGAGGAAAAAGTCCTCTTTGGAGCCTACTCAGGACATAAAGTTCATAGGTGCCATGCTTGACTCCATTGCTGCGAGAGCGTACTTACCTGTAGAAAGGTTTCACACAATACAAGACCTCGTGCATGAAACTGATGGGCCATAAGGCCGCTACCACTTTTGTAGTTCTCCATGCCTGGCTACATTTTCGATGTCTCCAGCACTGGCTAGCGTCCATATATGTACCTTCAAGGCACAGCATCCAAAAGATAGTCATGCCCCAGCCTATGTCCGCAAGTCCCTTGCATGGTGGACGAAGCAGCACAACCTCGTGGCGGGAGTTCCATTCCATCGGCCACAACCTTCCCACCAAATAACAGACACTTCCCTCATCGTTTGGGGCGCGCACATGAATGGAGGGAAGGTGCAGGGCAGGTGGTCGGACTCCGAGAGACTTCTCCACATAAACCTCCTAGAGCTGAGAGCTATTTTTCTTGCATGCAAACACTTTTGCACCCATATCATGGGTACTGTGGTCAGGGTGTTGACAGACAACGTTGCTGCAATGTATTATACCAACCGGCAAGGAGGAGCGAGATCACGTTACCTGTGTGCGGAAGCAGTCTGTCTATGGAACTTCTGCATCCAAAACAACATCACCATCACAGAGTCATACTTACCTGGCTCCGACAATACGATCGCAGACTCTCTGTCGACAATTCCCGCTGGATCACGAGTGGGAAATATGTACGGACATCCTTCATCAAATTTTCTGCAGATGGGCAACACCTCTTACAGATCTATTTGCCACTCCATACAACAGGAAATGCTGTTTTTTCTGCTCCAGGGCAGGAATTGGGAAGGGATTACTGGGGGATGCACTCTTAATCAGCTGGAAGGGATCGCTACTTTATGCATTCCCTCCAACAGTACTCATACCCAGAATATTGGAGAAAATCAATGCCGACTCAGCACGAGTAATATTACTGGCCCCGTCCTGGGCAAGACAGGCGTGGTATCCGTTCCTCCACAGGATGTCGGTGAAACCGCCTTATCTGCTTCCCCCCCATCAGATCTCCTATTGCAGAAGCGAGGTTCTGTCCTTCATCCCAGGCCAGGAACTCTCCACCTCACGTCCTGGTTCCTGATTGGCTCAAAACAAACGAGCATCTCTGTTCGGAGCAAGTGAAGTCAATCCTTTTGCACAACAGGAAATTATCTACCCGAAAGATTTACCTGGCAAAGTGGATGAAGTACACACAGTGCAACAGTCAGACTAACCCCGAAACAGCTCCTCTCCATCGAATCCTTGATTACGTTGTTCATCTACAGGGTTCCGGTCTGGCGATCTCTTCTCTGAAAGTACATATGGCGGCGATTAGTGCTTTTCATCATCCTATAGAGGTATTCTCCATTTTCTCCCACCCAACTACTAAAAGGTTTCTAGAAGATCTGACTAACCTTTACCCTCCACGGAAACCACCTACTCCTTCGTGGAACCTAGATTTGGTACTCGATACCATGATGTATCCTCCCTTTGAGCCATTAGTAACTATAACATGTCGAATGTTAACAATGAAAGTAGTCTTTCTACTGGCGATTACATCAGCACATAGAGTCAGTGAGTTGGCTGCACTGATGGCAAATCCACCGTTCACAGTGTTTACTAAAGAGTTGGTCACATTATGCTTGCACCCGACATTTATTCCGAAAGTATGTTCTTCGTTCCATCTCAGTGAACCCATTGTATTAACATCATTTTATCCAAAGCCTCACTCATCACACAGGGAAGCCTTATTACACACCACACCCTTGATGTGCGCAGAGCACTCTCGTTCTATATCGATAGAACTCGGGACTGGTGCACAACGGACAGATTACTAGTGTCAATAGCACAACAATTGAAAGGCAGCACGCTTTCCAGCCAACGTATTGCGAAGCTCATTGGCACATGTATTACTAATGTCACGCTACCCGAAACAGACCTCTTCTTTCACAACCAAGAGCTCATTCCACGAGAGCGGTAGCTACAACCACAGCCTTTGCCTGTAGGGTGTCCTTGGAAGATATCTGCCGGATGGCCACATGGACATCAAATGCTACCTTCGTACAGCACTATGCAATCACTCAATGTTTAGCCAAAGACTCAGCTGTAGCTTCAGCAGTATTATCGATTGCGGACAAACATTAAGTCCGGAGTGCTATCTGGGTACTGCTCTACAGTCACCAAGAGTGGTGCACCCACGGGGACCACTCGAAGAAGAAGACAAAGTTACTCACCTTCGTGCAGTAATGATGTTTCTTCAAGATGTGTCCCTGTGGGTGCTCCACATCCCGCCCTCCTTCCTGCTCTGGAATTTGTTTCTTTCTCGTTACAGACAACCGAGCGGTAAGAGGAACTGACGGGAGCCGGACCGCGCGATCAAAGGCGTGAAAGCCGCGAGACGCTGACCACGCAAGCGCGGTCTGGTTGACGACTGCTACTGAAAACCTCCGACCAGTGGCGCCGGGATGAGCCCAATACCAAGAGTGGAGCACCCAAGGGGACACATCTCAAAGAAACATTGTTACTGCATGAAGGTGAGTAACTTCGTCATCTGGGAGCTGACCTTGTCCGTGTATACAGAAGCAAAGAAAGCATTGAGTACTTTATACAGAAGCAAAGAAAGCATTGAGTACTTCAGCTTTCCCCACATCATCTATCACTAGGTTACCGCCTTCATCCAGTAGGGGCCCCACACCGTCTCTGATCACCTTCTTCTTGATAACATGCCTGTAGAAACATTTCTTGTTATCCTTCACATCCTTTGCCAGTGGCAATTCCAATTGCACTTTCGCCTTCCTGATAACCCCCCGGCATTCTCAAGCTATACATTTATACCCCTCCCCCTGATCATTTGTCCAAGTTTCCACTTTTTGTAAGCTCCCTTTTTGTGCTTAAGTTCACCAAGAATTTCCCCTGTAAGCCAATCCGGTCTCCTAGCATATTTGCTTCTCTTGCTACGTATCAGGATGGTTTCTTTCTGTGCCTTCAATAAGGCTTCTTTAAAATACTGCCAGCTGTCCTGGACTCCTTTCATGTTAGCGCCCCATCAGGTCTTTGAGGGAGTCAAAGTCTGCTTTTCTGAAGTCCCAGGTGTGTATTTTACTACTCTCTTTTCTTCCTTTGGTCAGGATCCTGAAATCTACCATCTCATGATCACTGCTTCCGAGATTGTCACCCACCTCTACTTCCCCTATTAGTTCCTCCCTGTTTGTGAGCAGAAGGTCAAGCTGCATGTGGCCCCTGGTCGGATCATTCAGCACTTGTACCAACTTGTACTTCTTGGTACAAGTAGAAGTTTGAATAATAACATTTGTGTATCTTAACTGTTTTGTGAATGTTAAGTAACTGAACTATGGTTGATATTCACTTCATAAATCTTTACCACAGTTGCGTAGCACTGCTTCATGTCCTCCCAGAGCACTGAGATATACTTCTGACTGGGATCTCCCTCCTCTTTAGCAATATAAGAAGGCAGTCTGGTCACACATATTGGCACCTGTTTGTGACTGTTTTAGGAGATGTAATTTCCAGGCTGATAATCCATGTCATATTCTGTGCTTTGAGAGCATTCAGAGTGTGGCCAACTGCTGATCAGTGCTGATGAGTACAGCAAAGAAAATCTTGTGCCTTCTGCAGAGCATAGTTAAAACCCAGCGAGGAACAGACTTGACATGGAGTGTCTGTTTCTTCACATAATATAGTGAAGAGGCCTGTAACAGGTGGCAAACCCCAAATTAAGGAATGTAAGATTAAGGGACTGTGCGATCATTTGTGTATCACACAAGGTAGCTTAGTTAAGCTTGCACATGCAACATGAATTGTTCTGGCAATTGATAATTTTGAGTGCTTAACTATACTACCTTAATGTTATTTAAACATAATTTGTGTTAAATTGTAAAATTACACACTATAACAACGTGTCAGGAGGCCCCTGACCCTGCACCCTCATCTGCAGCCAGATGTGACTCTCAGCCAGCCAGTAGAATAGAAGTTTTATTGGTTCACAGAGACACGACCTAGCTTAGGGTCGATGTTACCACAGGAGACAGGGCAACCAGCCTTATTCCTCTCGGGGGGAAAGGGGTTAACGGGCCTCTGAATCCCCCTGTCCTGGACTTAGTTTGCTCTCCTCAAGCTTCCCTCAGCCAAGACTGACCCAGCTCCCAGGCCCTACCCCCCAGCCAGGTGGCTGTCTCTGCCTATCTTCCTTTGTCTCTCCCTCTCAGAACAGCCTTCTTATCTGCTCAGGCTGGGACTAAATGTCTGGGCCAATACACATGTGAAGTGAATCATTGGGAATCAAACAACACAGCTAGGCATGTGTGTGCACACGCACACGCACGCACACACACGCACGCACGCACAAAAGGTTTGTCATGTATGGCTACTGAGAAGCCAATCAAAATTATAATACAAATGAATGCCCTACCTTCAGCACCAGCTGAGATATGGAAAAATATCTTCTGAATAATTCATAAAACTCAACAGCTCTGAAAGTAAGAGGGGCAGCTGAATGGACAATGGGAGTAACTGTTTTATATCACTCTCCAAGGCTGGGGATGTGGTTACTAGGCAGATGGGCTTCATTGCATTAGTAGAGGAGAAGATCAAACCATTACACTCAATGCATCACTTATCTGCTGAGTAAATAGCAGTATTTTCAAAAGGACCTCTTTGTATATTAGGTGGGGCTTCATCATATAGACAGAGTACAATTGAGTTTGGTTTTCTTTTTCTGAACAGGAAGAACCAGCTTGTCAGTTTTTCTTTGATTTGAGCAAACAGCATGGAAATAAGCGGCAGTCAGATGAAAAAGGAGGACAGCATTTCCAGCGCAAGCAGCTTAAGAAGATCTGTAAGTAGCAGGCCATTTGGTGCTTTTGGCAAACTCCCTGGAAGCTATCCTAGAAAAATAAGACCGCAAAATATTCCTGAACAGTGGTTGTAGTTCTTTAAGCACCATCAGTTATGGTGCACCACTGTAGGCATATCTGCGCCCTAATCAGAAATTATAGGTAGCAGATTCCATTCATTCCACACATGCACTCTTCTTCCTTTGTGATCTGCCTCAAGGCTATGTAGTACTGTGAGAGCAAATTGTCAGATGCTTCTTGACCATCTTTAGCCTTAAAGGAAGGTACAGCAGTCCCATTGTCTACTTCACTGCATCACAGTGTTAGCATAATCTATTGGGTATACGACACACTTCCTCCTCTTCTAGAATTGTCATCCCAATCAATGAGGTTCCTCTGGATCCATCTAAGGTCATTTGGCAGACAACGGCTCTGTTGCATCAACATCCTAAAGGGCTGGTAAAAAGTATTATATTCCCCAGGAGCTGGACTCTCTCTTTACCACTCTCAGCCAAACTATTAGGGTAGATGCAATCAATGCTCCGGGAAAGCAAATATCACTCCAAATCCACTACTTAAGATAGAGACTGGAAGAGGTTAAACATCCTTGGACAAAATGCATGTTTATCTGTGTTACTGTTATTTATGGGCCTCAAACTATCAGGACCTAAACTATCAGGACCTCAAACTATCAGGACCTAATTCCCAACAAGGCTTTCTTGAAGTAGAGAAGGAACTGGGGGGCAATTCTCCCTCTCAGTGCTGCATAGTCTCGAGGCAGACCATAAGAGAGCAAGGGTACATGTGTGGGATGAATAGATACTGCTACCTAAAATCTTCAAACCAGAGGTCCAGTGGCACAAATACATTTACAGTTGATAACTGATAGGGGAACACATCTCAGCTATCATTACTGCACAAGGTAAGTAACTTCCTCTTTTTAAAAACTTAAAAAATAACAAATCAGCACCTTAAAGACTTAAAAACCATGTAGATTGTATCATGAGCTTTTGTGGGTGCAACCCACTTCTTAGTTATGTTGTGGTAACATCTGAATGCCCCACTCAACAACAGAATCCCATTATGCTAAGACCTGTACAAATACAAAGAAATGGTCCCTTGCTCCAAAGCAGCTTGCAGACTAAATCAATTACACAATCACAGGGTATATCATACTCAGCATTGATACAAAACTGTCAGTGCCACTTAAAAAACTTAAGTACGAAGCTGGTGTGATGTAGAGCAAACTGACTTTACATATGGGCTATGTAGGTTGACTAGTATTAATCTAGAGTTGCTGCACATGGAGAACTCACTCACATCTGTGTGCTCTAACACAGGAGAGCTGAATATTTTCACTAGCAGTGTCCAGCAGTGATTGTTGGCTGTGCCTTGTATGCCCTCTCAGCCCCCATCCTCCAGGATACAAATGAGCCACCAAGCCTGGATGTTTCCATAGTTCAAGTACCACAAAGAGAGTAATATAGATGGAGAAAGAACAGTGAGAAGGATCTTCCTACTATATTTGAGGATGCTTATTATGGTTTCTTCTGAATTGGCAAAATATCCCTTTCCTGTATAGATGACAGCCATGGTCATAATTTTTTTTAGTTTGTGAAGCTGGCTCCATTAAAAACCAAGTGCATATAATCCTAATCTGGACTCTGTTATGATTGTACACAGTAAATGGTCAAGTTATCATTTGTTCATAAATTGACATTAATTTTTAGTTCTGTGATTACTTCCACTTTATCTCTTATAGTCTGATACAGAATTCCGTTGTATTGGTTGCAACATTTTTTGAGATAGGAAATTATTTATAATTCTTAGAAATTCCTCAGATTTTCTCAGTAGTGCCAGCATGAGACATAGAGAAGACCTCTTTGTGGCTCGAAGGCTTGTCTCTCTCACAAACAGAAGTTGATTGAATCGGAGCTATTACCTCACCAATCTTGTCCCTTTAAGATCCTGGGACAGATATGGCTACAAATTCACTGCATGACTCCAGCATATATCACTCAGATTGAAGCCCCCATGATAGCAGTTTCCCCCCACATTATAAACAGGTGTATAAGGAGGCAGTCATTCTTTTCCTTTAGTATAGTTTGGTGGTCTGTTGCAGATACCAGCTGGTATTTTATCTTATTCTTTATCCTTAAGCATTCAAAACAATTATCGTTTTAGTTATCAGCAACTTGGAAACAGGCAATGCCATTTTTCACAGTCCAACTTCTCCTTTTTTGTTATTCAGAAGGTCATCTAGTCCAACCCGAACTAAATCATTCCAACCAAGACTTTGTCAAGCCTGCCCTTAAAAACCTCAAAAGATGGAGATTCCACCACCTTTCTAGGTAGTCCATTCTTGTACTTCACCACCCTACTTGTGAAATAATTTTTCCTAATATCCAACCTAGTCCTCCCCCCTCCCGCCACTACTACTTGAAACTATTGCTTCTTGTTCTGCCATCTGCCACCACTGAGAATAGCTAGGTCCATCCTCTTTGGAACCCACTTCAAACAGTTGAAGATGACTGTCAGATCCTCCCTAACTCTTCTCGTCTATGGACTAAATAAGCACAGTTCTTCTTCGAATGCTTGTTCACTTCAATTCCAATGAAGGTGTGCGCATGTTACATGCACGGTCATCAGAAACTTTTCCCTAGCAGACTCCATAAGGACAGCCAGGGGTCTTCCTGGGGTGGCGTTGGTATGTGGTGCTATATATGAGCAGGCTTACCCCTCCCTCAGTTCTTCTTACGGTCTGTGAATGTGTTGGAACATCACTCACTTGTTCTGCAAGTGCCCTATTCCCTAGCTTACTTCTTATTCACCGTTGACAGTTTGTTGTTCTCACTTCAGTGTTGTTATAGTTGTTAAACAGTTGAGTGGTAAAAAACAGCTACCGCCTGCCTTGAACAGTGTGCTATGCCACAAACCCAAGGCTTCAAGCCTTGAGGTTCCTGTTATAAGCCTATGATGAATAGTGGCCCCCACAACTCCTGTCTACGCTGTCTGGAGGAAGCTCACCAAGTAGGGCAATATAAGTTCTGCAGATAATTCAAACCTTGCATGAAAAAGGAGAGGGACTTTCATTTATGGCAGTTCCTGATAGAAGCAGCTCTTAGGCCAGTGGCTGCATTTCGGAGGTTAGACATACTTCTCAACATAGGAAAGTCAACTCTCATCCTCTCACGAGAGGTCTGGCAACTCTAGTCTCACCTGGCTTTCCTTCCCAAGGTGGAGTCGCAGTTCCACGTAGGTCAGGATATCTTCCTCTTTTTATTCTACCCTAAGCCACATACTAATATGCAGCAACAACTGTTGCTCTCTCTAGATGTATGTAGAGTGCTCACTTTTTATATAGAGCACACAAAATCTTTTAGGAAGCCATCGCAACCACCATTGCAGAGCTTGTGAGAGGGCTTCCAGTTTCCTCTCAGGCTGTGTCCAGACTCAGGGGTTTTTTCGGGAAAAGTAGCCTTTTCCCGAAAAAACTTCCCCTGCGTCCAGACTCAAGCCGCGTTCTTTCGAAATAATTTTGAAAGAACGCGGCTTTTCTTTCGATGGCGGTAAACCTCGTTTCACGAGGAAGAACGCCTTCTTTCGAAAGTTCCTCTTTCAAAAGAAGGCGTTCTTCAATGTAAATAGGGCTTCCTCGAAAGAGAGCATCCAGACTCGCTGGGTGCTCTCTTTCGAAAAAGCGGATTGCTCTTTCGAAAGATCCGCCTGCAGTCTAGACATAGCCTCAGTGTGTCTCTTTGTGGATCACAGGCTGTATCCATAAGTGCTATGAGTTAGCAGGTGTCCCATCTCTCTTGATTGCTGCACATTCTACGGGGGCCATTGCCTCTTCAACAGCCTTCATAGCCCAAGTTCCAGTCCAGGATGTCTTCAGTCCACACATTCACGGTCCATTATGTCACTGCCTACCAAGCCCAAGATGATGCCGCTGTGGGCAAGGCAGTCCTACAATCAGTGACCAACTGACTCCAACCCCACCTTCTGGGCTTCAGCTTCGGAGTCACCTTCATTGGAATTGATGTGAACAAGCACTTAAAGTAAAAATAGTTACTGATCTTTCATAACTGTTCTTAAAGATGTGGTGGTTGCATCCATTCCAATACCCATCCTCCTTCCCCTCTGTTTGTGTAGCTGGTAAGAAAGAACTGAGGGAGGGGCAGGTCAGCATGTCCTGGAGGAGAGGTCAATCAGTGGCTACTAACCAAGCTGGTCAGGGACTCAATTCATGTTCTGAGTGGCCTAAACCTTAACTGTTGGAAGCTGGGACTGAATACCAAGATGAATCACTTCAGATTGCCCTGTTTTGTTATTGAAAGATAGAACCATAGAGCTGGTAGAAACCTCAGAAGGTCAAGTCCGGACTCCTGCTCTAGGCAGGACCAAGCCCAACTAAATCAACCCAGCCAGGACTTTGTCAAGCCAAGACTTAAACACCTCTAGGGATGGAGATTCCATCACCACCCTAGGGAACCCATCCCAGTGCTTCACCACCCGCCTAGTGAAACAGTTTGTCCTAATCTCCAACCTAGACCTCTCCAACCACAACTTGAGACCATTGCTCCTTGTTTTCCCATCTGTCACTACTGAGAACATCCTTTCTCCAGCCTCTTTGGAACCTCCCTTCAGGAAGTTGAAGGCTGCTCTCAAATCCTCCCTCGCTCTTTGCTTCTGCAGACTAAACAGACCCAACTCCCTCAGCCTCTCCTCATAGGTTATAGGCTCCAGCCCCCTAATCATTTTGGTTGCCCTCCACTGAACCCTCTCCAATGCATCCACATCCTTTTTGTAATGGTGGGCCCAGAACTGGACACAATACTCCAGATGTGGCCTCATCAAAGCCGAATAAAGGGGAATAATCACATCTCTGGACCTGCTGGCACTGCTCATCTTAATGCAACCTAATATGTCATTAGCCTTCTTGGCTACAAGGGCACACTGCTGACTCATATCCAGCTTCTCATCCATTGTAACCCCCAGGTCCTTTTCTGCAGAACTACTACTTAGTTGGTTGGTCCCCAGCCTGTAACAATGCTTGGGATTCTTCTGTCCGAAGTGCAGGACTCTGCACTTGTCCTTGTTGAACCTCATCAGATTTCTTGTGGCCCAATCCTCCAATTTGTCTAAGTCACTCTGGACCCTATCTCTGCCCCCAAGTGTATCTACCTCTCCCCCTAGCTTAGTATCATTTGCAAACTTGCTGAGGGTGCAATCCATCCCCTCATCCAGGTCATTAATAAAGATATTGAACAAAACCAGTCCTAGAAACTTGCTGGCAAAAATATTGTGGGAGACCGTATCAAAAGCCTTGCTAAAGTCAAGGTATATCACATCCACTGACTTTCCCATGTCCACAGAACCAGTTACCTCATCATAGAAGCTAATCAGATTGGTCAGGCACGACTTGCCCTTGGTGAATCTATGCTGAGTATTCTAAAAGGCAGGTTTTCTAATTCTTTGGTAATTTTTGGGGCTCTTCTCTGAACCCTCTCCAACTTTTCTACAGAACAGGACACAGTATTTTAGCAACAGTCGCATCACTGCTAAACAAAAGGTAAAATAACCTCTGTACTCCTACTCAAGAATCCCTGATTATGCCTCTCAGAATCACATTAACTCTTCAGCATCACACTGGCAGCTCACACTACATTTGCCTTTTTCCAATCATCCCAAATCTAATCATCCACTGTCACCCCATGAGGCCCAGTGACATATCCTTGTCCCCATGATTCCCTCAAATAATTCTATTAGATTGGTAAGTCATGATTTGCTTTTGCACAAGTAGCGATGACTCTCCTTACTCATGCAAAATTTTCTCAGGTAAGTCATCGCTATAGAATCTAAAGGAGCCAACGTGGATGCAGGCTTTGCCTGGGCACTGTCAGACATAGAATATAAGATGAAATTGGCATACGGCCACCCCTCATTCTGCAGAAGCAACCCACCTTAGCATATCATGAACGTGATGGCACTGGATTTCTCTCCTCCTACCTCTCCGCACTCATAGAATCATGGAACCACAGAGCTGGAAGAGACCTCAGAAGGTCATCAAGTCCAGCCCCCTGCTCTAGGCAGGACCAATCCCAACTAAACAAGTAAAGCTTTTAACTGTCTCCACTGTCCTGCTTCCCTAAGACATTTGACCTACCAAGGTGGAGAAAGGGCTTTCATGTCGGCAGGGGCGCGTCCAGACTGCCCCGATCTTCCGACAAACAGGTGATCGGCAGAGCAGGCAGCCATTTAAATTTAAACGAAGCTGCGATTATTTAAATCACGGCTTCATTTCCCTTTGCCAAACAAACAAATCTACATGGCTCCGTCGACGGAGCCGTGTAGTTTAGACGTACCCTAGGTTACCTCCTTCTTCCAGTAGAGGCCCTACACCCTCTCTGATCACCTTCTTCTTGTTAACATGCCTGTAGAAACCTTTCTTGTTATCCTTCACATCCTTAGCGCAAATGGAATTGTGACTGGCTTTCGCCTTTCTGATAACCCCCTGGCATTCTCGAGCTATACATTTAAACCCCTCCCTGGTCATTTGTCCAAGTTTCCACTTTTTGTAAGCTTCCTTTTTGTGCTTAAGTTCACCAAGGTTTTCCCCTGTAAGCAAATCCAGTCTCCTACCATGTTTGCCTCTCTTGCTACGCATCGGGATGGTTTCTTTCTGTGCCTTCAATAAGGCTTCTTTAAAATACTGCCAGCTGTCTTGAACTCCTTTCCCCTTCACGTTAGCATCCCACGGGATTTTGCCCATCAGATCTCTGAGGGAGTCAAAATCTGCTTTTTTGAAGTCCAAGGTGTGTATTTTATTACTCTCTTTCCTTCCTTTGGTCAGGATCCTGAAATCTACCATCTCATGATCACTGCTTCCCAGGTTGTCACCCAACTCCACTTCCCCTATTAGTTCCTCCCTGTTTGTGAGCAGAAGATCAAGCTGCGCACGGCCCCTGGTCGGATCCTTCAGCACTTGTGTCAAGAAGTTATTCCCAACATTCTCCAAAAACTTCCTGGATTGCCTGTGTACTGTCGTATTGGTTTCCCAACAGATGTCAGGGTGATTAAAGTCCCCCACGAGAACCAGGGCCTGCGATCTGGAAGCTTCTCTCAGTTGTCCGAAGAAAGCCTTATCTACCTCATCCACCTGATTCGGTGGCCTGTAGCAGACACCAACCACATCATCACTGCTGTTGTTTGCTCCTTTAAACTTAACCTATAGACTCTCAACAGGTTTTTCTCCCTCTTTATACTGGAATTCAGAGCAATCGTAGTGCTCTCTTACATATAGTGCAACTCCTCCTCCTTTTCTCCCCTGCCTGTTCTTTCTGAACAGTCTATATTCTTGCATGACAGTGTTCCAGTGATGTGAGTCATCCCACCAAGTCTCTGTTATCCCAATTAAATCATATTTCTTGGACTGGGCCAGGGCCTCCAGTTCTTCCTGTTTGTTGCCCAGGCTTCTCGCATTAGTGTACAAACGCCTCAGATAACCAGTTGATCACCCTATCTTCTCCATTTGAATCAGGGGTCCTCCTTTGTTGCTCGTTCCTCTTTGCATTTCTTCCCGGTATCTGACTTTCCCACTCCCCTCAGGGTTTTGATCACCGTCCCCCAACGAACCTACTTTAAAGCCCCCATTGGGTTTGCAAGCCTGCCCGCGAAGATGCTCCTTCCTCTCTTGGTTAGGTGGATCCCATCTCTTCCTAACAATCCTTGTGCCCGGAACAGAGATCCATAGTCGAAGAAATCAAAGCCCTCTCTCTGACACCACCTGCACAACCACACATTTATTTCCTCAATTTGACGATCCCTCCCCAGTCTTTTCCCTTCGACAGGGAGGATGGACGAGAACACGACTTGCGCTCCAAATTCTTTGATTCTTCTTCCCAGCGCTACATAATCCGCAGTAATCTGCTCAAGGTCATTCTTGGCCGTATTGTTAGTTCCCATGTAGAGAAGCAGGAAGGGGTAGCGATCCGAAGGTTTGATCAGTTTTGTAAGCCTCTCAGTCACATCCTGAATTTGAGCTCCCAGTAAGCAGCACACCTCTGGAGATTTCAGGTCCGGACGGCAGATGGATGGCTCAGTCCCTCTTAGGAGGGAGTCCCCAACCCTCCCCCCCCGTTGTCTTCTTTTGGGGGTGGTGGTCATGGAATCCCCATCCCTAGGACTGCGCATCCCATGCCTTCCAGTAGATGGTGTTCCCTTCCAGTTTCTTCCTTGTGAGGTCCCTTCCAAAGCATTCACCAGTCCAGATCCTGTGGAGAGAGCCTGAAAGCGATTATTTATTTCTGTAGCATTGGGGGATTCCTGTGTTGGCCTTTTCCCCCCTCAAGAAGTTACCTGCTGCCAGTTCTCTTCCTGGTCCCATGCTGCCCTCTCTGGCTCTTCCGCCTGCCATGCTTGCAGAATTAAACACTGCCTTCTATCGAGGAAGTCTTCATCCTTTCTGATCGAGCGTAGGGTCGACACTTGGGCCTCCAGTCCCCTAATTTTTTCTTCCAAAATGGTGACCAGCTTGCACTTAGTGCAGATGAAATCTGTTCTTTCTTTCGGGAGGAAGACAAACATGGCACATGCTGTGCAGGTAACAGCGGCAGACCTATCACCATCCATACCTCCTGTCCTGGAGAAAAGATTTAAAAGAAAGGCAAGAGAATCTTGCCCCTTTCCCAACTCCCTCTCTAAACTCCCAATTCAAACTTTAATTAGAAGCCAACAGTTTCTACCTGCCAGTCACAGCACACACTCTGTGAAAGGGAAGGGGAAGAGAAAAAAAACCCTATCTGGTTGTAGTCACTGTCAGAAGACAAGATATTGGGCTAGATGGACCATTGATCTGATCCAGTATGTTTGTTCTTCAATGGACAGGATACCAGAAAACATAACTCTGGCCTTCCAACCAGTTCTTATACCAAAATTAAGTATATTTACACTAACATACATATGCTAACCTTCCAGTGTTTAACTGCAATTCTGTTGTCACTATGAACACAATGTTTAACGCTTTTTTTTTTCTTCTTCTAATAAAGCCAAGCCAACTGGCCCCTGCTGGTTCTGTCTTGCCAGTCCTGAAGTTGAGAAACATTTGGTGGTTAGCATCGGCACACACGTGAGTACTTGGCACATTCTTCTCTGAGTGCAGTGTTGTGCTGACACTTACGTTTTAATGCCATTTTCTTTTTAACACTTGACATTGAACTGCAATCAAAGAAACCTAAACTATACAGAAAAGGCTTGTTTGTCAGATACAGGTTACAGAAACCCTCTGATTATCCTTTCACAAATCTCAAAGGAAACGTGACATTGCCCAGTGTGATCACCATTCAGCACAAGAGGCACCACACCTCATTTGAACTATGTGTTAACACAAACCATGTCTTGAGTGTGAGCATGTAGTTCTGTGATTCCAACTTAAATCATCTACCTGAGGAGGTATAAAATCTCCCAGCAGGGCAATTTACTCTACTCTGCTGTTAGATAGTAACCACAGTAAGCCCAGATCTGCGTGGTAAGATTTGCAAGTATAGTGTAGTCAGTTGGGGTGATTTTTCTTTAATGACATTTCTATATCTGCAAAAGCCCCAGTACAAATTCAGTTATTATTGGGGAAAAAATACTTATCAGTATAGTTTATTCTGTATGGAAAACCATTATAACTGTTTGGACAAAATCACTTTTTTGATATTACAAGGCATGACTGCACTTCGTTAGTCTTTAAAGTGCTACTTTTTTTTGTTGTTGTTAATTGCAAACTAACAAAGCTACCCCTCTGAGACTTTTGCAGTAGGAGGGTTTGCCATTGTAATTGTGTCATGAATCCATAAAATAAGTGCTACAACCCAGGTTTAGAATGGTCTCTTGAAGAAGTCCCTTCCATGTGCCAAACTCCCAAAGGGGTCTCGCTCTTCTTCCGGAATAGACTACGTAGCTTCACCTCCTCCTGAGACTGACTTCTAGGGATTCAGCACTTCTGCTTCATACCAGGAACTCTGCTTGCCAAGTCTAGCTGAGACAGACTCTTATTTAGAGACCTGTACACTCTTGAGGGACTAATGTGCTTCACTCAGTATATGCAGTGATTTTCAAGCAACATTTTCAGATCAGTAGAATGTATCAGTCTGCTGGGATATAGCATTAGTTAGCATAGAGCCATAAATGTTTAAGTGTATTCTGTGCTAGTCAACCCAGAGGAATTCACCAGCCAAGTTCTAGCAAACTCCATTTTCAGGCTCTATCTCAGACTTCCTTTGGGTATGTCTACTCTACAAAGTTAATTCGAACTAACAGCCGTTAGTTCGAATTAACTTTGATAGGCACTACACAGGCAAACCGCTAGTTCGAACTTAATTCGAACTAGCAGAGCGCTTAATTCAAACTAGGTAAACCTCATTCTACGAGGAGTAACGCCTAGTTCGGATTAAGTAGTTCGAATTAAGGGCTGTGTAGCCACTTAATTCAAACTAGTGGGAGGCTAGCCCTTCCCAGCTTTCCCTGGTGGCCACTCTGAGCACCACCAGGGAAACTCGTCAGCCCCCCTCCCGGCCCCAGAGCCCTTAAAGGAGCACGGTCTGGCTACGATGCCTGTGCCAGGTGCAAGCCTGCCAGCACCTAGCCAGCAAGACACAGGAAAGTGGCGGTCTAGGACAGGATAGCTGCCAGCCTGGCCACCCAGGAGCAGGTTTGCATGAAAATCAAGGTGGTCGAGTGAGACCCCGACCCTGAGATTAGAAAATAAAAAAATAAGAATGGCCGTACTGGGTCAGACCAAAGGTCCATCTAGCCCAGTAGCCTGTCTGCCGACAGGGTCTAGGACAGGATAGCTGCCAGCCTGGCCACCCAGGAGCAGGTTTGCATGAAAATCAAGGTGGTCGAGTGAGACCCCGACCCTGAGATTAGAAAATAAAAAAATAAGAATGGCCGTACTGGGTCAGACCAAAGGTCCATCTAGCCCAGTAGCCTGTCTGCCGACAG